GTTTATACGTCTGCATGTGGACGTCAATAACCGGGTTTTAGAGTCACTGACTGCAACAAGATATGTTCTTTACATCACATATGTGACCTGTGTTTACATTTGGAAACAGCGTGGACGCCCTCAGAACTGTGTTGGCGTTGTCTCTGATCCAGGCCCAGATACCGCTCCACGTACAAGAACACAGACGAAGGACGACAGTAGGACGGTTATTTTCCGCCACCTTGCCATTCCACGTCCGAGGCATGTTCTCCATCAGAGACACCGATACTGGTTTTGGGTCAGACCAGGAGCTGGTGGGAGAACTTTGAGACTCAAATCATGCTTCCATAGGAATGGCGTGACAATTTCCGTATGTCCCGGTCATTGCTCCTGTCGTCAGAGTTATTACATCCTCACGTAGAATATGAATGTGCTGAACAACGCACTAATGTGGTTAGGTGTGGATGAATTCTTTTTCTAAAAACGAGGTGGTGTGTACGTTAGTTCTTTTCTAGATGGAGGTGGAAGGATATTTGGTTTTACAAAAACCCTGCTACGTGTGGACAAGGCCTCAGTTTGCTGCATAAAATCAGCACATGAGCATCAGAACTGATCAGTAGAACAACAGAAACAGGTGGCCCGGTCAGATGAGTCACATTTTCTTCTACATCATGTGGACGGTCAAGTGTTTGTGTGTCTGGAGAAGAGATGGTAGCAGGATGGAAGAAGGCCAGCCAGTGGAGGCGGCATGATGCTCTGGAGGATGTTTAGCCAGAAGATCTTGGATTCTGTACTCATGAGGATGTTCCTTTGACATATGGTACCAACATAAACATCATCACAGATCTTGTACACCCCTTTATGGTGGTGCCATTCGCTGATGGCAGCATCCTCTTTCAGCAGGAACGATGCTTCCTGCCACGTTGTTCAGGAATGGTTTGAGGAACTCTCGAAATCCTCCAGATCTCAATTTAATCAAGCATCTGTGGAAAAACCAGTTTGATCCACCCAACTTAAAGGATTGAAAGGATGTTTTGCGAACACCTTAGGGTCAGAGTTCTGTGGAATCCAGTGTTTCGGTGGCACAATAAGAGGCAGGTGGTTTTATTGTTGTGGCTAAGAGGTGTATTTCTGTTAAGACGGGAAATAGACGGCAAACCGATACTAGTCTTGAGTAAATTTACAACAGCTTCCATATCTGAGTCAACTTGAAATGTTGAAATTGCAAAGTGTAATTGTTATAATGAGCTAAAGTAAAATAAATGGTTTGGTAAAAGCAGCAAATGTTTGAAAACCAAATCAGCAGTTGATTAGATGACAGTAAACAAAAAGTTACAGATGGATAAATAATCCAAACATCCAACTGTGCTGCTCTACGTGGTCGTGGATAAGAACGCTTCAGGACGGAGGGTCTAAAGAGGCAGGTTTACGCTGCTTTACTGAGTGTTTGAGGCAGCAGAACAGACAGAGACGGGAAACCTTCCTGTCATTACCGTCTGAACTGTGTCATCATGTTTTTAATGTTAAGTGCTTCTAAAGCGAGGCTCCATCAGAGGCAATTTTCCATCCCGTTGAACGAAATCAGACGTGTCCTCCCGCTCACACAAAGACTCAAACGGGTCACGATGGAGAGTCTCTCTGCTGAGATTCACCGTGATGCAAATCCGCGCGCCCTCCTGGACTTCTTATCAGGCAGGAAGATCGACCTCGGTGACGTTTGAAGGCAAATGAGCAGCTCGTTGTTCCCGCTCACCTCGCTCCCCTCCATTGTCCTCCTCGTTTATCATAATATATTTATCGTGACGGCGCTGGAGGCTCGGCTGATTGACGCCCGGGGAGAAATCACATTAAACCCAGGCTGGGAGTTGAACGTCACTGTTGTTTCTTCACTGATGCTGAACAGATGAGTTCACTCTGCCCTGCTGTCAGAAAGTACACATCTGCACCCACTCAGAGGAAAGTGACACTGAGTCCTCTGATGAGTTTTAGTTTCATCAGAACATTACTGTGACAAAGCAGACTGAGACTATGAAGATTTCTGCTGAGCTCTTATTGTGTGTCTCTAAATTGTCAGTATTTTCCTTGTTGTCGACTTTCGCGGGCTGCAAGGTGGCGCAGTGGTTAGCACTGTCGCCTCGCAGCTAGAAGATCCCCGGTTAGGATTCCCGGGATCTTCCTGTGTGGAGTTTGCATGTTTTCTGCATGCAGCGTGGGTTCTCTCCGGCTTCCTCCCACACAGTCCAAAAACATGTTGAGGTTAATTATCCATTATCTATTATCTATACACCACTTAATCCTCACTAGGGTCATGGGGGGCTGGAGTCTATCCCAGCTGACTCAGGGTGAAGGCAGGGGACACCCTGGACAGGTCACCAGTCTATCACAGGGCTACACTTAGAGACAGACAACCAAGCACACTCACATTCACACCTACGATGATTTAGAATCACCAATTAACCTCAACATGTTTTTGGACTGTGTGGGAGGAACCTGGAGAACCCGGAGAGAACCCACGCTGCACGGGGAGAACACCACGCAGAAAGATCCCGATGCCCCCACCGGGATGTGAACCTTCTTGCTGCGGGGCAACAGTGCTACCAACTGCACCACCTTGCAGCCCTCACTAAATTATAATGTAGCAATTTTTTTTATTTATTTCAGTTTTTTTCAGTTTCTAGTTGTTTGAGTGACTGTTGTGAATTTTGCCTTTTCTTTAATGGAAGGATGTGAACACATGTGAGGACGACTGGAGCTCCAACCTGAGACTGACAAGAGCTTCAGCTGTGCTATCAGATAGCAACTTGTTTTCTCCATTTAAAACGAAGTGATTTAAGATAATTTGTTGTTGTTTTTTGGTGGAAAGCTGAAGGAAGTTTGCAGTTTTTGCCTCAGTATCAACAGTTTAGTTTCCTCAAACCTTCACAACAAATGTTACAGAAGTCAGATAACGTAGTGCTGCACCGTCTCAGGTTTTAGTCAGAGTTCACGTAATTGGAACCAAAAATTAAGTTCTGAGAATTTTGTCTTCAGAGCTGAAAATCCTCTGTTTTGAGAAACAAGTGAGCATCTTACCTGGAAAGCCAAATTTAGGGTTTATTGTGTCTTGAAATATGACTGTAGAAGCCACGAAACAGACAGAATAGGTCACAGCAGATTTAAATGATTTAATGGATCCACATTTTTAATTATTGGCTTTTGTAAATGGAAAAAAAAGCAGAATGTTCAGTTGAAGTTGGTATTGATCCAGACATTGTAGGTGATTCGTCTGGAAAAAAAAAAAAGCAAAAATTCTGTGGTGGTGACACAGAGCGGAGTGACTCCACCTTATCATTATTCTGCTACAGGAGGGGGAAGAAAATCAAATCCTTTCATGTGTTTGAATGTCTTGAACCCAACCATAATCATCTTGGGTGGAACAAGAACAGGACGCTGCAACAATGATGGTGTTCCCTCAAAATAGTGACGGGGGAATTGTTTCAGTTGAACATTTGCATGCGGGGACACAAGGACTGTCATTAAAGTGGCTAAAAATAACCGTCGGAGCTGCACACACGGCCAACGCTGCTTCAAGTTGTGTGAAGTGATTTAGGGGAGGGGTTTTTTTTTTTCACATTTTGACAGCAAGATCGATCCAGAAACATCAGAGAGAGTTTAACAGGAGGAGTCTGTCCTCTGAGTTTATTCAATACCTGCATCAGGATGGATGTGTCTCCCTCCAAAGACCGAGAGCCGCACGTAGAACAACAGCAGTAACTTCATTCATTACTTTTAATTATCCCCAACGTGGAAGCATAATTAATTACAATCGAACAGCAAGTCAGTTTTCCTCACTGAGACACACACAGAGTTTATCAGCTGCAGCTCCATCATTTCATGTGGAGTCCTGAGCTCCTCCACCAGGTCGTTATCATCCTGCTGTTGGTGTATTAGTCGTTATAATCATGATCATCACACACCGATTAGCAGATCATTAATAAACCAGGCTATTAGCTATGTGGACAGTCTGATAGGCTCACTGTTAGTTTGGATTAAGCGTTCTGTTTATTGGTGCATTATTGTGTATTATACATGGTGTGTTGTATATCAGCTCATGTGAGTGTTGGTTAGCATCAATAATAGTAATGCTAATGCTAATAGCAGCACAGAGGTGGCTGCACTGAAACAGGAGGTGATGTTCCGGAAGCTTCCGGGTTCAGAGTGAACATGGAAAATCTGTGTTACTCCTCGCATGAAAGTCCACATAAACGGCTTCATCTGTAAGTTATGCACCGTTAAATATGATGTTAACATGTTTATGTCACTGTTTGTGTACTTTGAACATATAATTTGTATTTTGGAGAGCAGCTAGTTGTTAGCGCTATGCTAGTCCTGTGGTTCAGATTATGTGTGTGTTTTCAGACTATTTACATCTTCACATTTCTCTGCATCTATGTACAGACATTTATTTGACGGTGTAGCAGAAGCACTTTTTGGTGCTTATATTTGTATTGTTTTGTTCTTTGTCAGTTTTACAAAAATGAAAAGTTTGAATATTTCCATTCATTAAATCCTGCCAATATGAGTGCTATGCTAAGCTAGCTGTATGCTGCCTACCAACAGCTTCTAGTGAGGACAACATTCATCGCTTCATGTAATTTTGTATGAAAGACAAATATCTTGTGTGCTGGGATTCTCTCAGTGACCATACGTGTGGAATATTAACAGAAAAGCATGTAAGGCTGTTACTTTAACTAAGTTTATCTAAACTCGGGGTGCTTGGTTTTACCTAAAATCATAGTCTCCTGTTGGTGAAGCCAGAGGCTGGTTCTCTGTCTAGTTTAATTAGTCCATTCCTCTCATTTTATTTTGAAATCTTGTCCTCAAATCCGCGTTTATTTTGACAGCTTGACCAGAAGTGCAGCTGATTGTTTCGTCAATTCCAGCTTGAGTCCAAACCAAACGCTGCGCCTCCGGACTGGAAGCATCTTCGCGCACCGCCGCCGGGGAGTCCGGATCAGTAGAGCGAACCCACCCAGCCAGCAGAGCCGCTCAGTCTCTCTCCCCCCTCCTCTCTCTCTCTCTCTTCTTCTTCTCTCCAAACTTTGGAGACTTTTGCGCGTCAACGAGGCGCATTTTGGATTTTGCCGATTTGGAGACTCTGAAAACTTTGCGCGCAGGAAAAAAACTAAAGTTCCCTGAGACTTTGTGGGGAGGGAGAATGATCCTGCAGGGGGACCAGCTGCCGCTCCAGTGAAAACATGTGAGTCCTTCAATCTCAGATATTAATATTGTCCGAAAAGTGCGCTGCGTTGTGATGATGCGCTTGGTGCCAAATGAACCTTCGTCTGGGGAGTTTTTGGTTCTCACTTGTTGGTTTTCTGTCTTCTCTAAACATGTCTTTACATCTCTGTGTGACATGAAACTGGATTTTAAAGTTCTGTTTCTGTGTTTTTTCGCCTCTCTGCTGGTCAACCATCTTCACACCTTCATGTTAAGCTCATTATTAAAGCCGAAGACACTTGATTTTGGTGTTTTCAGCCATTCAGATCACGAACTTTGATCCTGAACTCAACTCTTCACTGTTGCGTAAAAAATGGAGAACTCATTGTTTTACTGTAACGTAACTTTCAGCTGCTACTTCTGCTCCTCTCGTCTGCGCCTCAATTAATCAAACAGCTGCAACTCAGTGATTGAGGACGAGTTTTAGTTTGATCGACGCGTCGTTAATGAGGAAAATGGACAAAGAAAAGTGCGCCTTTTCTCCTATTTTTCCCAACTTGAGAGCTCCCTCGGAAAAAAAAAGAAAGAGAAAAAAGATGTTTTCCATGATGCTGTTGGCTGCCTATAGTTGCATATGTTTACAATCTGTCTCCTCCATACTGAGCAGAGAGAAGAAGTCTTTGTAGGAGCAGGATCATTATTCTGAAAAGTGTCTTTACTGTAAGAATCACAAAGTTTTAGGAGCATGAAAGTAGTGCTTTACACTCTAAAAACACTGTTTCTGCTCAACAAAACATGAACACAAACAGATCTATTTGAGTGTATGACAACTTGTAATGAATTCATAGAAACCAAACTGGATCAGGAGAATTAGCTTTAAATCGACCATCGAATTTTACTGAACAGTCTGAACTGTTTGAAATTGTTCATGTTAAAGTAGAAGAGGAAACTTAAAATCCTGAATTTATTTTGAAGAAAAACTTAGTTATCAAGCCACTTTCATGAAGTTATATCACCCTGAATTCAGAATCAGAATCAGCTTTAATGGCCAAGTATGTACACAACATACATGGAATTTGATTCTGGTTGTTGGCGTCGCCCTAGGAATTAGCAAGGAAAAGAATAACAATAAAGTAAAATAACTAGAGAAAGAACGAAAAAAAGAAGAAAATAAAATAAATTATAGTAATGAGATATAAAATAAGATAAATATATACAAGAATATACACATCTAGAAAAAAATATGTGTACAGTGGTGCAAAAAATGGCAGATTTAATCCAACTAATGCAGACATTTGATTTTAAAATACTCACAATATTCCGTTGAAGCAATTACTAACATTATTACATCAGTCAAACCAGTTCAAATAAAGTCTGCAACGTAAAAGGTGCATCTAAATCAGTAAAAAAAAATTGTTTTATTGTAGTTATGCATTTAAATGAATGGCACTTATCCAGAATGTTTTCTCCTGACTAGATGTGTTGTATCTGCTCTCAGATGTACGTCGCTTTGGATAAAAGCGTCTGTTCAATAAAATGATAGAAATAATTAATGGGAACAGGTTGCTTAAATTACTTTTTACAGTGAAGTAAGTATTAGTAGGAGTTTGGGGACGTATTAATAACGTAAAAAAACAAATAACAGAAGTTCTCTCAGCACTTCACACACAGAAAGTCATGAAATTAGGGTGCGGAAAGAAACAGAAAAACTCTATTAGCTTCCTTTAAGCTCCAATCAGCTGGTGGGAAAGAGCCACATGTGTTTCCATATGAGCTTTTGCGAAAATACAAGTACTGTGTTGTAAGTACAAAAGTACTAGCGTTCAATAAAAGTTAATATCATTTTCTTGACTAATTGGACAATAATTTGTCAATTAAATTTCAGAAAACGGTGAAAAATACCCACAAAAACCCAACGCGGTGTTTTCAGATGTCTGATTTAAGTCCAATCCCCCCAAAATATTCAGTTCACACCTTTAGCCGACTAAAGAAACCAGTAAATATTCACTGTGAGAAGCTGAAGCCCAAGTTAGTAAGTTGTCTGTGCATCATAATATTAGATTCTGATTTATTTTCTGCCAGTCCACAAACTGACTGACTGATTTTAACTTAATGATTTTACTCAGATCCTTCGTTCCGTTCACTCTTTCTAACCAGAGCAGTTTGCTGCAGGTGGATTCAGGTCAAACACATCTCAGGCATAATTTGCTGACTTCGGTTTGGCTGCTTTTTACTCTGCTGGACTTATTTGTTCATTGTTTTGTATTAATAATATATATATATTTTTTTTTAAATCAGCATAACAACTACTTTTTTTTTGTTTTAATAAAGAGTGAAGAGCAAGGTTTTTACCTCCAAAGTGTCGTGTAGTGGACGCATAAAGTAACATATGCATGAAAATTACTTCTTGAGCACAGAGTCTGAGAAAATAGGTGTGTCGATACATATGCAGAAATTTAAAAAAAAGAGAAAACTTAAGAGAGAAACCAAAGAGTAAAGCCTGTTTAGTTTATGTTATGAAGTTAGTGGAGGTAACGGAAGAATTGTTCACAGATTAAGGGGAAAGTCTAAAACGTTATATTTGCAGTTTATATTAGAGATTTTATTTCATGCTTCAGATCAGGGTTCGATGCACCTCAGTATGAATGCTGATTCTGGAGATATCTGGATTTCTGTCTCATATTTTTGCTGACCTAAAAGTCCCGAAATGTCCCTTTAGGTTGGTTGAAAATTGATGAATTTCTGGCAAAATCCTCAGTTGTAGCTGGAATACTAAGACATAATGACATGAAGCAGAATCATTAGTTGGTTCAAAACCACTGCTTGGACAAAATAATGATGTTAATTACTGCCATTTGGTGTTTCATAGTACAAAAAGAAACTTTGATGAGCCAAAACATACTCATATGTAAGTACTGTGTATTGTTAGCTGTAGATAAATATAGAAAAGTCATGGAGGAAGGTTTTTATACTGAAAGTGCTAAAAGTTCCTACAGAGCCTGAGTCACTACTGGAGACGTTCTGTTGATGCCACGTCATCACAAACATATCTTACTGTTACAATAAGAGATAGAACACAAAAATAAAATAGGAAAACATAAAACCCTGTTGGAATATAAAGTTACCTCACACAGAGTATAAACTGCAATGTTGGAGTATTACATAGATATAATAATAAAGACATCTAAATATTGTAGTGATGCTTTATGAATACTGTTAAGCTTGTTTTAGAAGCATTTCAGGAACAAAATAAGTGCTAAAAATGTCATTCATATCACACTTAGTTACTGTAGGAACAATATAGTCTCAGCACGTCGTGTAGACCTGCTGTTGTGATACGTAATAATTCCACAGGGATGGTAAAACGAGAGTATAAGGAAAACAAATAGCTTATGTAAAGTCACATATATCATAAAATCCAGCCCTGTAGGAACTTTAAAGTGCACCAGAGTTTATTAGGAACACCTCGCTAAAGTCAGCCGGTCTAAAGCTGTAAATCCTCCTTCTTTATGTCGTCCACTTTATTTTAGGTGCTGACGGATCATGTTGGAGGGTGTGAAGTCGGGTTTCTAATTCTTTTGTCCACATGTAAGGAGTCCAACTCAGTCTAACGCTGAAGTATTTCACATGGTCTCCTCCTTTCCCTAAAAAGTTACCAGACTTTGGGCTAAAAGAATGTAGTTTAAGTTGCTTTTAGAGTCGACGTGGAACCCAGAAGTATGCTCGGGTTAAAGAGTAAACAGAAGATGTATGCCATTATATAATCATTCTACAGCAAGAGAACCGTGCTTGTAAGCAAACCCTCCTGTCCTGTACTGATGTGATTCTCGGTGTTCTACCTTATCGAGGTCTGACTCTATCAAAGAAAGTGTTGTTTAAGGTGGAATCTGTCACTGCCAGCCGTTACACAACCTGTGAAGGCGATACGCTCAGAAAACACGTCCCAGAAGGTGAAGGTTTGAACAAGCTGTCTTTAAAAGGAGTCGCGAGGTGACGTCAAATGACATCCTGTTGACAGGAAGCGTGCGTGGGGAGGGGGGAGGCGGGGGGTTACCTGTTCCCCAGGTGTACTGGCAGACACGACCGATGGTCCCTGATACATGAAGGTGGTTTACAGGTTTAGCTGATAAAATGACAGATATGGCAGCTGTTGGACACAAGAAACAGAGAAGGTGAAATCCAGAGTAAGTGAAGACGAGGGTCTGAGGGTCAGGTGTTGCAGAGAGGAATGTGGTTTAATTAAGTTAAAAGGGAAGATTTGATCTCTCCACCTGCAGCTTTGTTTTGATCCTGATGACATTATGGTGAGGATAAGAAGGAGGCAGTCCCGTCATTTTCCCTGTTAGTCAGTAACGCGTGACAAACACGAGGTTTTTGGCCACTGAAGTAAAGGAAAGTGTTCCATTGCGACGAAGCCAAACACGAATTTGACCTGGTTCTTTGGAATAAAAAAAGAGTTTTATGAGGGAATCTGCATTCAGTAAAGGCTTAATGGGATAATTCAACATGCAAATGTTTGTGTAGATCCTCAGTGATCCAGGTCATGGTGATCCTAACAGCTTCAGTGGAGGGTGACAGGACTTTTGGTTCTTGGACGCTTCGCCTCTCACTCAAAAAGCTTCTTCAGGTCTAACTGACTGATGGGGAGTTTCAGATTTATATTGTAACCCACAACTCACACGGCTCATGGTCCAGTAATGACCCAAGGTTTACGTACTTTACGGTGTTTATGGTTGTGCAAATGCCAGGTCAGGAATGACTTTCGATGTAGTTACGAGTGTTGAAATGTTGTGAAGAGAAACTACATTGTAAGTAACAGATAACTAGTATCATGGACCTCCTCCTGTATTCCACAGATGCCTTCACTTCACTCCTTCCTTCACATTTGCCTTCTGTTGAAACTCTTAGACTCAACATACAAATGCACTTAATCTCTTTATTTCGAAGACTGAGATGTCCGCATAGATATCAGTCTCACGTGTTTTCGGTACAGAGCCTAATTTAACATAAAGACTAGAATCAGAGGGAGACTGCTGGCCA